CGGAACCCCCCAAGGCTGTGTGCTCAGTCCAATACTGTTTACATTGCTAATGCATGACTGTGTAGCCAGATTCAGAGGAAACCAGACCATTAAATTTATGACTGTGAATATATGAATATATGACTGTGATAGGCCTCATGATTGGAACTGATGAAACAGCGTACAGGGAGAATGTCAAACAGCTAGCGGGCTGGTGCATGGACAATAATCTGGTGCTCAGTGTCGACAAAACTACAGCAGTGATTGTCGACTTCAGAAGGTCACGTGTCAGCACACTCTTTTTTTTGACTCCCCCGGACCATGAAGACCACCAGAATTGTCATAGAGGCCCAGGAAAGGCAGCACTTTCTAAAGAAACGGAAGCAATCATCACTGCCCCCAAACATTCTCAAAACCCTCTAGAGGCACTGTTGAGAGGGTGCTTATGTGCCGCATCACAACTCGCTACTCCAGCTGCAATAGCAGTGACACTAAAGACCTGCAGAGGGCAGTCAAATGGGCAGAGACGATCAATGGACTCTCCTTATTCTCCATTCAGGAGTTTTACCATAGTCAATACCTCCACAAGGGAGCCCTCACATTCACACCATAAACTCTTTGACCCTCAGCAGGAGGCTTCGCAGCATTACAGCCAGAACAACAAGTTTCCTCTACCCAGGCTGTTAGGCTGCTTCAAATCAGTTCACCTCGCTGTGACTGGTTGTGGCATAAACACGTTTATAGAGTCTTCTTTTTAATAGAGTTTTAAATAAATTTATACTGTGGTTAAATACATCTGGTCATATTGGTCAGTTTTATTCTATCTAATTGTGAATTATGTTTTTTTTTTTTTCCTTGGTGGATGTGTTACGTTTGTACTTTTGATCTTGGAGGAACACTCTCCATCTGCCTTACAGAGAAGAATGGTAAAATGGCAATAAATTGAATTGAACTGAACTGGAGAGCGCAAGTTTATTTTTCTGTAAAATGGTTTTATAGTTTTTGGTTTCCACCAGCCCTTGAGAGAAATACCTGTCTCTTCATCTTAGATATTCCACTGTGTTCGCCGACCAGTTGCTAACTTCATCTGTCTGCTGTTTGGGGAAGAACAGGTAGCAGATTTATCTGTGCTTTTTTGCTGAAAACAGATACTGCTACTGTGGTTGAAAAGGACTGATCAGTGCAGAGTATGCAGTCTGTACGTTCCGAAACAGTGAGCTAAAGGAGGCAAAACAGTCTCTGTAGAATAGGAGTTGGTGGGAACTGCTGAGACGGTTGATCATTTTCTGTGGTTTTCACTAGTTCCACCTTTCATGTTAAACAGTGATTTGATTTATTGTTATGGAAAAAATGTGATTAATGACCATATTTAATGGCTACTTTAAAACTGTTACAAATGAATTTCTGAGGTTACACAGGAGATTTGGATTGTCATTTTTATTGTCAAATATAAATATTTGTATTAGCACAGTATTCACATTAACCCACTATCTGTAAAGCTCTACACAATATCACTCGCCTGCATGTTAACAAGGCTCTACAATTGAAGGAGAAAACAAAATGAGAGAGCTTCACCCATAGGGGACTGCAACAGTAGTCTGTCACTGTGATTATTCACTGGCTCTGGTTCCAGATGTTGGCTTCCGAGCACATACTGAACCCTCCCCACACCTAGGGCGTGACTCATTCACAACCCCCCCCAGAATCCCTTCCAACATGTCTGATCAATGGCAGCACCACAGCCCTGTGGGAAATAAGGGTTATGAAGTCTGACAGCAGTGTGCCCACTGACCCCCGTCATCTTGTTTATTTCGCCAGGCGATGGGAAGCCAGACTGAGTGGAAAAGCGACCCATATATTGATTTTGGAGGAGGAAAATTTGTTGGCCCCTCAGGGGATAGCTTAATGAATCGAAAAAGTGCATCTGGCTTCCTGAAGGTAGGGGTGGAAAAACAAAAAACTACCACTGGTTGATGTGGAGGACGTCATATGAAAATAAAAATAACGCTGAAAGGACTGACTTTGGAAAGCACAATTAGTCCACACACCAGAAGGTTCAGTATATCTGCATTATTTTTGTAATGCAGATGAAGTAAAACAGTATTTTACTGCTAGTCCATGAATATTAACAGGCCCATTTAAGCCTTTTCAAAGTAAACAGTAACTGTCCGCAGTAAAAAAAAAAAAAAGGAGATGGGCTCTGTACACTAACCTAAAAATAAAATGCCATCTGTAATATTGTTTTCGCTTCTTTTTCCCCAGCTGGAGAAATGTGATCTTGGTGTTAGAAAAAGCATCCTGTAAATAAAAACTCACAGGTTTGAGCCCCAGAGCTGGCATGTGTCCCCCTCGTGTGTTGCATGTCGCTTTAAATAGGCAATCGCTTACTCACAATCACATGCTTAACAAATAAATACACTACAAGGTCAAAGAAGTGTGAACAGCTAAAGTAAATATAAGTGTTTTTCCACTATTGTGAAGTGGTGTGACCTACTGTAGTGTGACCACTGTAACAGCTTCTCTCCCCCTCCCCAGTTAATGGTACGTGTTGTCCTATTACAGCACCACTAAAAAACTACAGCTAGTTTCTGCAATTTCTGTACATTTAAAAAGATTTGATTTTGATTTGATTTGATTTATTCTTTCAAGCAGGTAGAAACAGTTGATATGACAACACACATCAAGATCAAACAAGATAATATAAAAGTCCACAATGCACAGTGGTCCACTGTGCATTGTGGACTTGTTAAACATTTGTTAAATGTTAAACGTAAAAAAAAAAAAAACAAGTCCACAGTTCCTAAAAATTTGGACTCTGATCTGGTTCTCAATACCCAACCCTACCTGGAACTAAAAGGTACTGTTATATGGTATCTTTTTTTTGTCCTTCTTTTCTTACCTCATATTCTTGTTTGAAGCCATATCCCTCAACTGTCTTCATCTGGTTGATGTGCTGGAGAAGGTCAGCCACTCTTACAGCAGGATGGAGCTGACCCGTGTGATATGGCGAGCTCTTCCTCCGACAGTGACGATGTGGTGAGCCTCCCAGTAAGCTGCTGGACTCATTGACGGAGCTACGCTGTTCATCTGGGGACATGAACGCATACAGTTCTAATGATCACCCCACTGATAATATTGCATGCTATGACACAGACTCTGTTCCTTGTTATTAATGTAAACTTGGCTGAAAGGTCTAGGGGGCAGCTGAAGGGAAAGTCGGCATTTCTTTGGAGATGTGAGGGCTGACTGGGGTGCAGAATATTCAAATAGACAACAGACTTGCAGGAGATTTATCTACTGAGATCACCCTATGGTGTGGCAGAACAGATTGGATACATGCTTGGAAGTAAACATGGCTCAAGGTCAGGTATAAGAGAGCTTCATCTCTCTAGACACTTTCTTAAAAGTACCCATATGTTCCTCACTATCTTACTTCGAGCATTGCAGCCGTGGGCATCCATGAAGGAGTGGGCCATCCTCTCATCCTGCTGGAGAGTGCTCTGCTCTGTCATGCTGCAGTCTAAAGAGCTCAGTTTCCGACTTTTCTCCTGCCTGTAGGACATGGCTGCCTTGTTTATGGCCACCTTCTTTCTACTATAGAAACGGAGGCACAGAAAGGTGGGACAAAAAGAGTGGGTGGGGTTGCAATGAATGATAACAGACAGAGGACAGCAGAAAAGAGGCAGAATAAGAGAAAGACAGGCAAAGAGATAAAGAAAAAGAAAAGGAAGGCGGGTGAGGAGATTGGAAATCGGATTGAGGGGAAAATAAAAAGGCTTCAAGATTGAACTTGGACCAGGGGGAAAGTGAGATTTGGTCATAGCAAGAGAGTGTTGGGGGTGGCAGTAAGGTTCTGGTGGAGGTGGTGGGGTAAAAGGAGAAGGAAGAAGAGGAGGAGGAAGGGAGGTCTATGTGTACTGGGTGGAGATAGCAATGCTTATTTCCACTCTGATAATACAGTATTGGGGCTACAAAGGACAAGCAAAGGGAAGACGGCATCAGGGGAGTCACGGTGGAACATGGAGAAAGGAGTAACTTACGGGTAGTAAGGGTAAGAATAGAAGTCCCTTCTGATTAGCATGAAGGAGGAGGCAAGAAGAAAGAGAGTGAAGAGAAAAAAGAGAGGTGACTGCGGTGTATCAAAGTGGGCATCAGAAAGATAAATGAAGATTCTCAGTGCATCGGAATGTTCATAGCAAACCATCATAAAGCAGAACAAAGCATGAAGAATAAAGAAAAGGCCTGCAGCACACCAAAAACCAGTTACATTTCCCGAGGTTTATATTGGGTTACATCTCTATTTATGTTACTATATTTTGGATGTCATTTCATAAAAGGGAACCAAGTATACACATTCCAGGTGTTGGGGTGTACAGTACTACTGTAAACATTGCAGAAAGCCTTTTGTCTGAAAATGTATCTCAAGAGATGTCATAAATTTGAAAAGTAAAAGATCTGGGGATCTGGAGACAAAGTAAATTTATAAGATTTACTGTATGTAGTCCAGTCCTCACCTCTGCTTGAGACTGGCAGTTCAAGGCTAGAGTACATGAACTGCTACAAGTACAACACACATAAATCTCCAACCTTGACAGTAAAGTTTCATTGTGGGTAATGTTGGTGCCAGGTCTTTGAAGGATGGAACAAAAAAGACGACATCTGGTGCTGTTGCATTGATTTCATTTCTTGTTTGAATGTAAAATTACAAGTGATTTCATCGCTTACAGTTTCTCTGACACTTCCGCTGCTTTCGCCTCTTAGTCAACTGTTGACACAGTGCATTAATCTTTGTCAAGATGGACGCAGACATTCTGTGTCCGGTATTAAGATACTGTATATTTATACTGTATATACTGTATACAGAAGGAACTCCAAAACTTAAAAATGTGTTCCTCTACTTGCAAAAAGCGTTTAAATAAATATCCCAAACTTTGAAGCTGGTACAAAGCTGAATTCTGGTGTGCAGAAAGCCTTTTCGTGTCGTTTCCCATTTTCTGCCCTGTGAGCATCCTACTGAATTTGCTGCTGTGCACAGGACTTCAGATTCCCCTTTTGATTACAGAACCAAAACACATTAATATATAGAGTCTAACTTTGTGCATGCATTGACAATATCTTGTGGCTAAACATAAACACATCTGCTCCTGTTGCCCCCATGTGACTATCTAGCTTCTATTTTGCCTGTTAGATTGGCCTGCTGAATCTTATCAGTCACTGGCTTCTTCCAGACATCCCCATTCTTTCTTTTTCTATTCTCTGTGATAACATCCCTTGGGGCGGAGGAGTTCCTCTCTCCAAAAAAAGTAAAAACATCCTTGCTAACCAATTACTAGCCCATCCACTGGCACCTCACAGCTGCTCGCCTCATGTAATTGAGTGGGCAATGGAATAACATGCCCCTTGATGAAATATTTCACACTCAGATGAGTGTTCCACCATCGCCCAGCGAGCGAAGGAAGAATACACTGCAGGTGCGATCGGTGACAGAGGTAATTTGCAGGTGGAGAGCAGCCAATGATTCCAGTGCGAGCAGGCTGCATTTGAATGTGCTCAGCCAACATGCAAACCTTGAAATTAAAAGATGAGATGAAACACAAAAGCTTGGCTGAGGCAGCAGTGAGAGCAGTCAGGATTAATGCTCTACCGTTCATCTAACTCTGGCAGTAATTCACTCTCATTGCCTAATGCTTTCCTCAAGAGACCCTGGCTGCCATGTGGAATAGAGATAAATTTACTTTTTTGGATGGGTTACACAGGAACAGTAAGACTGTATGATTGACTGTGAGAAGACTGGCCGGTTGGCACAAACATTTTCCCAGTCACTCACCCTTTCTTGATGATGATGACGATGGCCCCCAGAAGCAGAACGAGGACCACCAGACCGCCGGCACAGGCCCCGAGGATCAGACCCATGTCCTCTGCATGCTGGGACACCTCCAGAGCCCGCTTCGAGTCCTTACAGGCAGCTGGACATGTACGACAGAGTTGTCAAGAAGGATAGGAGAAAGAGGAAGACTCACCTCTGGCTTACACAAAGGCAGCAAGTCTCACTGCTTATTCAGTTGTAATAATAAAAAAACACACACACAAAAAAAACACAACAAGTAGTGGTTGAATGTCAGTACATCGGTGCCACCTTTGAGGACAATTACCATAAAGTAACAAAATGACTGCCAAGAAGACTGGCAAACTGTGTTAGTATTGATCCTGTAGGTCTGCTTTGTCAGGAAATCAGCTGCATGCTTTGATTGATTTATGGCACAAAACAGTGAGGAAGTGGAGGTTTTCATCTAACCGTGCAAGTGGCTTTGGTTTTAATTGTTCAGATAGCCCATAAATTAGAGGGAGCTAAGTTAACCTCAGTTTAGTGTGACCATTCTGGCGAATAGGTATTTGCTAAGCTGAAAACCTTATAATGTTACTGATCATATTGTATCACATGGCTGCAAACAGCTAGTAGTCCTACTGTATGTAAAATTTTACACTGTGTGCTTCGAGTTTCCCTGGGAAAAAAAGTGTGTTTTGATACAGTTTTCAATTTTATTTGCAATTTGACAGAATTCAACAAGAGACAAGTTAGATGAGAGACACAGTATTTTCCAGCTGGAAACTCTTATGAGTTAATATACTGGATACAATTCACAATGAGAAACCACTCATATTACAATGGAAACAGTGAAGTACAAGACTAAAGGTTTTGGGGACTCGACTCTGACTCCTACCTCAGAATTCAGGATTGTGACTAATGAAAATCTCTGGCACCTGTGTATGTTAATAAGAATAATATCTGAACAAAACTGAAATAATCACGACAAAAAAATGACAATAAAGTGATGGTACAGCAGCAAACTGCAATGCTGATTCATTCACATCGGCAAACTTATTTCTCTCTGTTGTACCTTTCATACCTGAAGCTAACAGCTGCCTTAATGATTACAGTATGTGTGTCTTGTATTGGCTAATGTCCCTCTCATGCTAGAGCATAAACACAGTAACTAAGAATATAATTCATTTTGTTATCATACCTCTTTATTAAAATATATTCTTCCCTTGCTGGGACTTTTTAGTAGAATCAGCAGAAGTAGATGCTACTAAAGGACAAAACTATAGAAGTAACAACTCAGTAGTTACTTTAGAGTCAACAGCACGGTCAGGTGAGACTTCACACACGTATGATTCATTATTCTGCAGCATCGTGGGCAGTGGTAGTCTACTACAATTGTAATTTTCACATATTCAAATTGCCATGAAGGCAAGAGAGTGTTGTTTGTTCCATTGTGGGAAGTTTTCATGGCTTTATATAGTGCATACATTTCACAGTTTTTGGACGGAGCCTACATGTTGTGTGTCTAACGCTTTGTCTCAGAAAGGGTTTGAACACATTCAGTGTACTGACATCAGCAACGGGAGTATCTACAAGGGGAGCTAATGTTTAGCCTGGAAGGAACAATGCTCTGGTTATATTACCAAACGTTCAGGCAGCTATTTCCCTCCTACCCTTATGTCACAGTCTTGGTTCCTTTCTTTCTGCATTGCCATCTCAGCTAGCCAAGAGAATGTAATCTTCTCTAAGAATCATCCGTACTCCCTGTTGTGTTTTTATCCAAAGGTGAAAAACTGCTATTAGGCATGAATGAATTATTATACTTCTGCTTTTCATTAATAAGCCATCTCACTGATGTGAAAACAAGAAAGACAGGGAGTAAAATTAAAGCAGAGTGATACAATGAAAAGGTCCCAGGACAGCATTTGTTTACAGCCCAAGTGGACAACATCTCTCTATTTTAACAACAACATGGGGGAGTTATTTCCTTTTGTCTGAGGAAAAAAGTCTTTACAGTGAGGCAGAATGCTCAGTTTGGCTTGATGAGCTGTGGATTGGTGGTGAATATAGCTTCTGGCAAACAATACAGCCTGACAGTCTTGCCGTAATCACACAAATCATGCTGGGTGAGTCATTCTGCTTTTAGAGCCATATTTAGAAATTGGCTATCACTGCAAATTTTACTGCACCAGAAATTCCAGCAGTGGTCATGCAGAGAAATGCAGGAATGAGAGAGCAAGAAGAAAGACAGTGGGGTACATATTTCATCAAAATCTGTCATTTTCTTGCTTCGGTCTGCAATTTATCTAGCCCTGGCCCTGACATTTCTTGTCTTGATCAATTTGGTTCAATCCACACAGCCTCATAGATGCTGTTACTGTATTTGAGATTATATTGTCCACCTTTAGATTTTAGGAGACAATTAGCTAGCATTACTCAAGGCAAACTGAATCAAATATGACAGAAAAAGCCTGATAACATTATCCAAAGCAAGAAGAGGTCTCCACACTTCATTCCAGAGGCTTAGGATAAGGTCTTCATGAGGCTGATTGACAGCAGAAATGTTGGCCTACTGTGCAAAAACTGTTTTCATGTAGGCTTATCGAGAAGAACTCTGCAATGTAGTTATACAGTATGTGGATATATAAAGTGAAACCAGAAAGCTCACAGTGACACCAGGAGCCTGATCAACCAACAGATGCCAGTACAAAGTTTGCAGCACAACAGGGGATTTGTGTAATTCAAGTAGCTGTCTGTGGTGATCACACTTCCCTAAATGCACTAAACCTGACCAGGACATGCTGCACTGGACTAATGACTAGACTAGGAGCTTGTTCCTCAACAATAAAAAAAAAAGAAGAGCGCATGAGACATGGTTTCGGGGCCCTATGCCATCGTTTATATCGCATGTAAGAAGAAACAACTTTGAGTTAATGTATCGTGGGGTCTTGTTCATGAGTGAGAGTAAACTGAACCATGAGACTAACAGGTTGATTGGTGCAGCATCAGCAGCAATGCTGTGCCAGAACGCAAAGATAGAGTTGAGCCTGAAGGCATAGCTTTCAGTTTAGCAGTCTATGTTCCACCGGACCCTGGACCTCCTCTGCCCTTCCAGTCGCCACCATTTCAGGTCGGAACACAGTCTCCTTGTCTCATCTGTACAAACTCCTGCCTTCTTTCTCCATAGCCACCACCGTCTCTCCGTTGACCAGCTCAGGAGTGACCCCAGTGTCCGTAGCCCAGCCTTCTCCCATCCATCTCACCACAAACTGGTTTCTCAGCTGCTGATCGACACCCGGTTACTCCCCTCATTCTACACTTGCCTGTATCATGTGAACTCTTTTTTTCACTACACTGTAAATAAATTTAGCACTGCTTGCACCGAAGTCAGCTACCTGGGTCTGCCTCTCTTTACTCGCTCTCCTCCGTGTCCGAACAGACATAACAATTTATGCATAAACAGACAGTCTAGGCCAGGGCTGCCCAATATGTCGATCGCAAAGGTAGTGTCAGTAGATCTTGTGTCAATGTAATGAGCTTAGTTAATGCTTTCAAATGAAAAATGCAACATTTTGCGGAACTTCCAAAACCTCGCATCAGAGCTGGAGATGCAATGGAAAGCATGTGCGCAACTTGACATTGCACGCTACACAAAGCAGATTGACAATTGTCGGTCATAGTTTGACAAACGCTTTCAAGACTTTGCCTCACTCGATCCAGTCTCTACATTTATGTGCTGCCCATTTAGGGAAGATATTGAGGTTGATTCACTCGCATCAAAAATTGCAACGCTGTTTCACCTGAACTGGTCTGGAGTGGAGGATGAGACATTGACACTATAGACTGACATTCAGCTGAAGTCCAGGGCTAATGGTCTGTTTTGGAACTTACAGAGGAAAAGTACCCAAACATGAGGAAATGTGCCATTGACTGTATTATTTGGCTCTACTTATTTATGTGTCAGCATTTTCTCACATGGAGATTATTAAGTCCAAATACTGCTCCACCATGACTGATGACCATTTGGATGATTCCATTCAGTGCAAGTCATCAGAGTAAACTAATGACCAAAAAAGTACTGAACTGTAGTGTGCCTTAAGGTTCATGCAGTTATGCAAGGTGCGCCAACGTATATTGTGTTTACATAAGGTATACTCCATATATAAATAAATATATGTTTAGTATTTTAACTGTAGGTCGATCATTTTGACTTGGTCATTTGAAAAGTACCTTGCAAGGTGAAAAAGTGTGGGCACCCCTGGTCTAGACATATAGGAATTCTTATGCAGCTCTCCTTTGGAGTTGGGTAAGGAGCCAAAAGCCAGAAAGAACACTTACTGTAGTCTTAGAATAAAAATGTTACATTATTAAAGTATTAAAACACAATACACACAAATATAGGGTAACAGTATTTCCCACAGTGAACTTCAAACATCGCACTTAGTAATTCACATGGTGGAATTGGATATGTCATTACGCTTGGTGAGGTAGTGAGGGGTTATTGCACATGTCTAGTAAGGAGTTATTGCACATATATTCTCACATTTTCGTATTTGCCATCAGTCTTACTGAGGCAGGGAAAAAGCTGTTGTAAAGTCTAGTTCTGTGTGTGATGATATTGTCCGCCCTGCCTGAGGTTGTAGGTGCAATTTTTGTGTATGAGCAGAGTGTGAGCTGGGTGACGTGGATCTCTGATTATGTTCTCTGCCCTTTTACGGCAGCGCTGTGTGTATATTGTGTCCATAGCAGGCAGGTCAGTCCCAGTGATCCTCTCTGCAGTGTTAGGTATTTTTAGTCAGATAGATATTGGTTGGATACTTGATGTATTAGAAATGTCTGTTTTGAAGTTACTTGGACTGCTTCGTCTCTCAGAGTCAGCGTGGTTAAAAGTACCGGGTACGACAGGAGTCTTTATGACCCTTTGAAAAGCCTTCCTCTCTGCCTGTGTGTTATTACCATACCAAACTGTGATGCCAATAGTGAGGATGCTCTGTACCAGTCCTCTAACAGCATGGGTGAGAGGGCGATGGTTCAACCCAGCTTTTCTGAAGCTGCCTGATGAAGTACAACTGCTGCGGGGTTTCTTCACTGTGGCAGCTGTGTTCAGTGACCAGCTCAGATCAGATGCCACCTGTAGGCCCAGGAACTTGTGGCTGTCAGCCCTCCCCACCTCAGTCCCTTTGATGGTCAGAGGCAGCAGAGGGGAGGGGTTCTTCCTGAAGTCTACGATTTCTTTTGTCTTGTTTATGTTGAGGATGTCATTCTCCTTTCCATAAACAAGAATGTCGTTCACCAAGCTTCTGTAACCCGACTCATCTCCCCCCTTGATGAGGCCCAGAATGGTGGTGTCATCAGCATATTTAATGATGGTGGTGTTGTCCTGGTTGGAGACACCATCGTAAGTATACAGAGTGAAGAGTCTGGGACTGAGACACAGCAGCCCTGTGGTGAGCCTGTGCTGATTGTGAGTACACCCGCCCTCCCATTCTAACTAGAGACTCACTGAGACTGGTTTCGCCTTGAGTTGTTTGGTGTAAGCAGGTTTGAGCCAGACTGCTAGGTGGTCAGATCTACCAAAATGAGGCTTTGGTTCAGCTGAGAAAGCATTTCCAATGTTACTGTAACATTGGTCCAGTGTTTTATTTCCTTTTGTAGCCTCCGTTCGACTCCCCCTGTCTGCCTTGTCTCCAGTAACATTGGTCCAGTGTTTTATTTCCTTTTGTAGCCTCCGTTCGACTCCCCCTGTCTGCCTTGTCTCCAGTTTGTTGTTATTGGAAGAGCTCTCTGCAGGACGTCAGCCTGGCATCATGTTGATATAGCATGTTAGCTCTGGATATGAGGCCAACATGCTTGGGTCAAAATCTCCAAAAAGACTGCACTCTCTCAGCAGTAACAAAGTCGCCCGGTCATAAATAAAGTTTGCGGTCTTAACTGTCCTGTTAACATGACACAAATAAGCAAAAAAAAAAAGTCAAAAGAGAAACAACCTGACTGAGTGAACCATGACATCCCACACCGAGGAGTGCCATCTAGTCTGAGGAACTGGAGAACGTTGCTGAGGAGAGGGATGACTGGAACGCCCTGCTGCTCCTGTGACCTGACCCCAGATAAGTGGTTTAGATCAGACGGATGGATATGTATAAGTAAGTTGAAATGGACCTCTCTACAAAAAAGTACAAAGAAACTACTTGAGAATTTACAGTATGATGCTATGGTATGACGTTTTCCAAATGCAGCAAAAGCTATAAGTGAATTTGATGCTTTTTTGTTGACTGTGATAATATGAATAAAGGCTTGTAGCAGCAGAATGAGGAATCTCTGAAGCCAATTTGATTCATAATGAACATGTTCTCATTGTTCTTTAATATCAGCCAATGTTGGCTATAAATCAACTGAGGATAAAGACAACAAGAAAAAATGTTTTTTTAAGTGCCCAGGTTGTGCACAGAAGAAAGTAACACTTGTCCACCCTGCGGTGGCTTGGCCAGCTGCCCAGGTGAACACAGCTGGCAGCATCTGTGTGTAGGAAATGAAAAGCAGCCAGGACCTGTGTGCCACCTCTGAGGAAACAGGAGTAACATTGGCATGTCCTCTGGGCCTGCATGCCACTGCTGCATATGTACAACTACAGTAAAAAAAGTAGTTCCTATAAATGTGCTTGCAACCCGCCTCCTCCCGTTTCATGACATCCTGGCAGACAATAGTAAGGCAGGATTCTTTGATGTCATCACACTTCAGATAAAAATAAAAGTGTTCAGGGAGCGAAATCAACGACTCTATTTTACTCACTGTCTGTCTCCCTCTCACCGACTGTTTGAACCTGTGTTTGTATCTCAAGCAAACACTCCTGGTCACTTCCTCTTGCACTGCATTCTGAATTTCAAAGTCTCCAGAGCCCAAAAGGGGTTTGCCAAAATGTCAGTGATACAAGACCAAAAGAGTGAGAACATGGATGCATATTTGCTTTCACCTTTCCGCTGGTGCCTCTGCTGAGGGACATTGGCACAGGGGGCTTCCTCTCTGCAGCATCCAAAACAACACTAAGTCCATGTCAAATCCACTAAGTGCCAGCCTGATCCAGCATGACTGTCAAAGTCTCTGACAGACACTGTGCTGCATAGCTGAAAAAACTATAACCTAAAAAAGTCCCAGTGATTATGATTACCTAGAGAATCTCTTTTACTTAATCCACATTACATTAGTGAAATAAAAGACAAGTGGTAGTTTCTGTCTCACCCCACTCTTATTGCTATTATGGTCACATATTTAGAATTCTAGTTTTATATAACCTGCTTCTTAGTTTCACACTCTCATTACAACAGTTAAGGAAAACATTTATGTTGCAGCTTAATTGCTGAGACATGGCAATACAACACTGTAAGACATACATACTGTATCTTAACAAAGGAGCCCATGGGGCCACCACATGAGCAGGCAGATATTGCCCAGGTTCCCAGTATAACCAAAAACAACAGGATACATTGCTATAAAGTCATCTCAGAAGTGGTTGAGACTTGTTGGCAAGATTTCTGTTTGCTCATGTATTTACTCAACTACAGAGCTGACCTCACATCTCAACAATGAAGCTGATGAGTGAAATATCAGTGTGTAAAGTTATGATACTTGAGTGATCCTGAAAGTATCATTTAATAGTACGAGTTCTGTTTGAAACAGCATGTGTAACTGACCACTGGAGAGCGCACCTTGAGCAACCAAAAACAAAAGCCGAGCAACTCGTATCATTTTAATTGATTTGTTAAGAGAACCGGACACAGTTTCGCCACAGTCTTGCTGCCAGTTTTTCCCAACTGACCACTTGCAGTGCTACCACAACAACAAAGCTGGACACCAGAAATAATATATACTCAGCAAGCAATTTTCAACCAAGGGACTGGCTGCCATCTTGGAATCCTGTATCCAAGTCCTTATAATATATCAGCGATCAGTTTACAGTTTACAATTAAGTTGACTCAAGAAAGCAGTCAACAGTGTCTTCCAGCACAATGATAATGAGCTCAGCTGAACATCAATTGAATATTTTCACCATTAAAATGACACACATCATATGTCCAGTGTGTGTAAGTCTCATTCGCTGTGAATGCAACAGGAATGCAAATATTCATGCATAGTTTTGGCTAGAAAATACCTTTAGTGATATACAAAGTCCCAATGTTACCTTTGTGCTAGTGCAGTTGCAATTCCACTACCGTTTGAAATCCCCTATTCACTGTAGCATTTCTGTTTAGTATTTCTAAAAAAAAAGTGAAACTGGAGTTTCCTATCATATTTTTGAAGTTAAATGAGTGGTAAAGTTTAAATCTTCATGAACTTAACCAAAGTTCAACAAGGATTATTTGCTGATATATAAATAACCTACAGCTCATTCTCACTTGGTTACTTCAGTATTAAGATCCACCAACTATCCCTCTTAAATTAATTTTTCCCTAAATGTTCTCATAATTTGCATTATGTCAAATGTCAGTGTAATTCTGAATGTGGTTTTCTCACTGAAACAGAACATCTGGTCTCTCTTTGTCTCTCTGTAATTTTTACTTCCTATTATTTGCAGCTGCCATAAAACTGCAGCTCCAGCTGCACTAAAAGAACAGCACCATCTTCTTGTTTTATGCTGTGGACCACCTGTCTGTGTGCTGTAAAACAATACAGCAATCCAACAAGGTAGCTCACAGTGTAAAAGCAGAAAGACAGGGCAGAAAATACAGTTGAAGTCAGAAGCTTCCATCCACCTTAGCCAAATACATTTAAAGTCAGTTTTTCACAACTCCTGACATTTAACCACGACTATGGAGGTCTGCTTGGGATCATTGTCCATTTGGACAAGACCCATTTGGGACCAAGCTTTAACTTCCTGGCTGATGTCTTCAGATGCTGCTTCAGTATATCCATATAATTTTCCTTCGTGATGATTCCATCTATTTTGTGAAGTACCCCAGTCCCTCCTGCAGCAAAGCACCTCCACAACATGATGCTGCCACCTCCATGCTTCATGGTTGGGATGGTGTTCTTCAGCTTGCCAGCCTCCCCCTTTATCCTCCAGACATAACGATGGTCATTGTGGCCAAAGAGTGAAACCTTCCTGGTTCATCAGACCAGATCTTTGTCCCCATATGCAGCTGCAAACTGTAGTCTGTCTTTTTTATGGCGGTCTTGGAGACAGAAGACGTCTCCTTTCTGAGCGGTATGATGGCTGCGTTGTCCCATGGTGTTTATACTGTATATGTGTAGTATTGTTTGTACAGATGAACATGGAACCTTCAGGTGTTTGGAAACTGCTCCCAAGGATGAACCAGACTTGTCCACATTTTTTTTCTTAAGTCTTTTGAGTTTCCCATGATGTCAAACTGAGGTACTGAGTTTGAAGGTAGTCAAGTAGCCTATCAGAAGCTTCTGATATGACATCATTTTCTGGACTTTTCCAGGCTGTGTAAAGGCCCAGTCAACTGAGTGTATGTAAACTTCTGACCCACTGGAATTGTGATATAGTGAATTATAAGTGAAATAATTGATCTATAAACAACAGTGGGAAAAATTACTCATGCATAAAGTACATGTTGTAACTGACTTGCCAAAATGAGAGTTTGCTAACATGACATTTGTGGAGCAGATAAAAAAAAGCAGTTTAATGACTTCAGCCTAAGTGTAATTAAACTTCAGACTTCAACATGTCAAAGCCATCAATGAAGTATACTGATTTAATCATAACTTACATGTAGCAATTACCTTAATAATTGAAAAATAAAAGAAGGTGTTACCTTTGCGAGCAATCCGGATGCAGTTTATTCTCGTCTCCTATGAGTGAAAGAAAAGGCTCAGTTAATTTGTTTGGCTTGGTACCATGAAGTCACAAAGATTAGCATGGTAAAAAAAACCCACAATGCAACTTAATGATGAGCCAGGCTGTTGAAATCCATAAGTCTAAAACTTTCAACACCAGTGGCTGTATGTCACCCTGACCTTTGCTATGTGGGGAAATAACTGAAATTTCCAGGTGAATGACACCAAGTGAAGCCCCGCACCTGGGCCCACTGATCGACTCTGACACCCCCCAGCCACCTGTGTCCTGGAGAAAGAGGGGCATTTTACCAAATTAAGATTTAAGTAAATTAAATCATAAACCTTTAGAGGTAATTATGCTAATCTGCATCCCGAGACTGGAGTGAAACTCCTTTCACCTAAAGTGGTTGTCAAATTACCTTCTTTAATTGGAATCTGCTTCAAGTGGATTCTCTTGTCTTCTCTCTTTTACATTGATATCTAAGTCTTATTTACTCCTGCCCAGGGGTTATTAAAAGCAACGGCAGGTAGTACATCATGTGTCATCCTGTCCTCTGTCAAGGAGGACTTTTGGCCTTTTAGAACAGCAACACCAATGCCCATAAAAATAGATTGTTATAGCTTCAAAAGCATTTTATCAAAGCTTTAGCTCTTAGATCTAAAAATGAATGGTTTCTAAACCCTTACAGTCTACTCAGGTTCAGCTATCCATTGTGGTAAGTAAAATAACAAAAACTCATTCATTCAGTTGAGATATGTAATCACATTTTGTTTTTTAATATGCAGAAGCACAAATTAATAAATAAGATAAACAACTATGAAAAGTTGATCAAATGTTTCAACTACAATGAAATAATCAGTCTTGGATTTGTGCACACCTTATTTTCTCAAGCTGCTTGAGCTTAGGTGTTGATTAGCTACAAATATCAAAATGTTACTGGTGCCATTTTCTTTTAAAATAGTGAAGGTGGTGATCAGCAGTGGATAAAAAAGAACCCGATTTTTTTGTACTTTACTCTTTGCTAATAAAAAGAAAAATAGTTGATATTAGATTTTACAGATATGAGCATTTTGACAACATGCAGATCAAAACCAGATCAGAGCCCAACCAACCTACTTAAGCCACAAGCCAATTTATCCACTTCCCAGATGCCGAATAACGATAAAAACAACAGACGTCTACCAGGAAAAATATCAGCATGTTGTTATTTTCACCTTTAGTTGCAGTAATCTAGATATTTCCACAGAGTCAAGTGACTCCTACAGACATGACAGAGAGAAAAAAGGCTTGGAATAAAGTGTTTTTGTTTCCTGTTTGTGTGTTTTACAAGAAACAAGCAGCAACAATCATGCATCTTTCAAGCCCCACTGAAGGCATATCTGCCAAAGCAATTAATGTTTCAATTCAATGGCAGCTCATGGTCCACAGTAAGCCCCGTACATCTAATTCATCCAGGGTAATTGTCAAAATAATGAGTTTTTTCTTCATTCCTGAGGAGCCAATTTCTCCTAAACACAACTATCGTTTAGAAAATAGATGAATATGTTTGCAGGACAAAAAAGAAAACCATCAACATGAATGATAATATTCAGTTTGTTGTGCTGACTGCGGCGCCAACAGAGCTTTTAATTTGGTTATAGAAGAGAATCTTCACAATGGGCTCTCCATGATTGGAAAAGCTGGCTGCTGATTTCAGATCAGCTCTGCAGGCCCATCCTGGACCACACAGAAGAAATTAGCTGCAGCCTTTGGGGAGTACAGACGAGAACCTGCAGACACATAAGCCCCACATGTGCCCTTACACTATGTGGCTGATTTAAATTGCATTTACTTCCACTGCTTCTGTGCATGCCAGCGAGGATATTACTTAATAATGCTTCAGTGACTTTTCCAATTGAGTGTCTTTTCAGATCTTTTTAAGTCTGAGAGGCAGTGGTTGATTTTCCCTGAAGAAAAAAGATTTTAAAACATTTTTAAAGAGCTTAAATATGATAGAAACAGATAAGTTGATGATTAAAAAAAACTGCAGTAATGCACATTATATTCTAGAAGTAATTATCAGTGAAAAGCTGCTAAGCTTCAATAGGGCACTTTGCTGGTATGATGTTTTTATGGAGAAGAAAGCTCATCGCTTGCCTTTTTTAGTTTCACTGAGAAATGATACAACATTAACAAGTTCAAAATTTACCGGTGGGAAACGGTCAACCCCAAGACATACTAAAAATACATTACATCACCACATTTGGTACTAAATAAATCTAAATTGACTGTCAAGGCTGCTAAAACACAAAAGCAGCATATCTGAGCTCCAGAGACAAAAGCCTTCTGAGACTTCTTAACAGTTCTTACCCCTCTGAAGTTGCTGGTGGCCTGAAAGTAGATGAGGTAGTTCTTGGTGGGGTCTAAAGGGCTGTTCCAGTAGCCGTTGTAGGTGTGGTTGTCACCCACAGTGAAGGGGGTGGCCTCGGGCAGACTGGAGGGAGCCAGCTCGGCCGTGTAGTAATGTGGGGCGCCTTTGGCCTGAGCCTCACTGTGTGAGTTTGGAGTGGGGAAACAGTCAACTGTGCCCAGCTCCCTCCTCCTCACCTGACGAGAACCATCCTCTTCAACCACCACCACCTGGTAAGCACTGGTGACGGACAGTGAGTACTATTTAAGCTAATCAAACTACATTACACTACACACTTTATATGTATATATACAGAATATATAATCTACAGTAAATATATTGTATGCCATTTCATAGTTTTTTTCAAATGTAAAAAGAAGACTACGTTTCATTAGCTGCTGTATAGTTTGCATTTAAAGAATTTCACAACATACGCATTACTGTATCTTCAACGAAAAAAATGGATTCTACCCTTTTCAGTATTTCTGAAAAGCCACTGCTCCTTTTTGACTGAAATTTGAGTGTAATGCTTGTTACAATGACGCAGTTGTCACCCAGTAAAGATATGATTTGTTGCCATGTGGTGTCATTCCAATTCTATCGGAGTTCAAACTAAACAGATGGATAATAGTCAACTTTTTTGGGGGGGGGTGGTATTGTATACTATTTTTGGGGCAGTTATAAATATCACAGAGTCAAAGCGCCCTGAATGAACACCGGTGTAGCAGTCAAGTGGGCGTAGGTCATACCTGACAGGAGCCCCTCTCCCCAGCGCAGGGCGCAGCAGCACGGTGATGGTGCTCTCCGACTCACTCAGTGGAGAGGGGATGTCCTCATAGTCAAACACCGGAGCTGGGAAAACAATTGAAGTAGGTAATCCACAAACAACAGCTAAGACAGTCAAAAATGTTGAAATAGTGTGTAATAAAACTAGAATCATTTTAAGTATTCAAGTTTTGCAGTTTGGGGGAAAGATCAAAAATGTTTTGTTCAGATGTGAGAATATGAAAACTAATGTAGCTGCACTCCTGCTTGAACATTTAATGATTTTCCCACTTATACAGAAGATGAAAAGATACAGTGTACTGTCTTAATTCAATACCCGTGTGTGTTCCCAGTATACTGTGGTGTGTGGAGGCCTCCCACACAGCGCCATTGACTGATGTTGACTAGAAACAGCAGCCAACCACAGAGAAAACAAGAGGCCCTTATAATATAATTAGGACAGATTGCAAAGCTGCACAACCTCAGCGAAGCTCTGGGGACAATGAGGTCGAGTGTTCCCATCTCTGTTTACTACAGGGAGTGAATTAGCTGGAGTATGCAGTGAAACAAATGGCTATCCTGGTACAACAGATGAGCTGATACCAAAAGACTCCGGCATGGTAGTGGAAATGTTTCTGCTTCAGAGGAAGAGCATTAATGCTTAATGTAAAAATCTTTCTGTGTACCCTGTTATTCCAAGAACACACACATGCTTGCGCACAGCAGCTGAGATCTACAGTATACACAGTTGTGTCAAGGAGGGTTTCAGATAGTGCATGTTGGGTGGCTGAATCCAACATGAATTATGGAAAAACTAAGTGCAACATTATACTTTTATACTTGCTACCAGCACAGCCTGAAGAGGGCATAGGATACTGCAGCTTACACTCTATCTAGATAATAAGAAGGTATGGTGAACCGGCTGCATTATTTACATGTGGAGTCAGAACAAACAAACAACTCCAGAGATTCATTCTTAATCTAAGATTAGTAGATCCTCTGCAACACAAAGGCATTTTAATCATATTATTGATTTTTTATAACATATTAACCTGTAGGGTTAATATCTCTCCTAGCCCTGTGATAGACTGGTGACCTGTCCAGGGTGAACCCTGCCTCTTGCCCAATGTCAGCTGGGATTGGACCCCCCCAACCCTATTCAGGAATAAGTGGTATGGATAGTGTATGGATATTAACCTGTACTTTAAAAAAAAACGTAAATCAGATTCTATGTTTTGGATTAGCAATATATACTTCAGGGTCATCTAGTTCCTGCATAGCCCAGTACAGTGCCTTATATTACACCTGTGCAGCTCTAAGCAAGCTCAAGTGTCTTGCCTACAGTAAATACACTACACAATAGCTTCTGAGGGTGGAAAGTTCATATAGCTACTTGAACTCCTTGACAGATTAATATAAACATAGGTTGTTTAAGGCTTGTGAACAGCACCAAAGAAAAAGGCTTGAAACAGCAGCTACTTCAATTTATACCAACGTGTCTCTAAAAATAAAGAAAGTGATGCCTGTGTACCTGTTTTTCACTGTATCTATATGGAGTCCTGAACAAAATCTTTATCCTTCACACACTCCCTATAGGAAAACATTACAATAGCATATGATGTTTAATCAGAATAAACACAACTGGAGAAACAGTACAGATCTCCTTTTGTAGAAGAGAGTTTGCACATTACCCACGGATGTTTTTCTAGACCTATCTCAAGATACATACTGGTAACCTTTTCATTCACACTGTATCTCTCATTTCTCAGCTGCTGTTTTCTTTGAATGGTAAACACAGACTCATTGTGTGCCACTGCTGGCTGAACAACGTTATTTTTATGCAAACCATTCAAGCTGAACCTTTGTACTGTACAGTAGGTCCCTGTAACTCAGGCCTGAATCAAACAAATGCAGGTGGAAAAGCAGTCTGGTTAAAAGAAAACGAGGACGGTTTGTATAATCTAAAAGACTATGCTTATGTTAATCAACGACACTTCAAAAGGAGGGAATTACAGTTACTTAAAGACAGATTCACAAGACACAAATACTGCTAACAACACACTGTCAGTCTTCTTTGCTATAGGCTGTAAATGCTTTGAGTAAGAACACACTTTCTGTTGGGGAAGAAAGTGTTATCACAATGACTGACTCTGCATCACTGGCCTAAATTGTCAGCATATGAGAACAATGTGCAATTACTGAACAATTCAAGACCATATTTTGACCTTATTCTACCCCAACACAACTATACACTCACACACAGATATTACAATTTCCCCAACCACAGCAGTTTCTGCAGTCAGAGCAAGTTCTCACCAGAGATGTTGGTGGTGATCTCAGTAAGTGCCGTCTGGCCAAACCCCTTGGCGGTCCGGGCACGGACTGACACCAGGTAGGTGGTTCCGGGATGCAGGCCAGAGAACATGTGGTAGGTCTCATTCCTCAGTTTGGACACTGTACGTCGAGGACCCGGCACATTAATGCTGGGGTCTGATGATTCAATACTCTGGTAGCTGATCTGGAACAGAGAGGAACAAGGTGCAGCTGGATTAAACACAAAACTAAGACCCTATAGCTGACAGCTCTCTGTATTTAGGCTAAATAACATGCTAACATAAATCTGAACATGTTGATAATAATGAAGCTAACATGTTTAGCATGTACAATGTTGACTTTTTTGATCAGCTTAACATGCTAAAATTTACTTAATAACAAAAGAAGTACATTTGAGGGTGATGGAAATGTCATTAGTGCCGCAGGTATTTAGTTATAATGTCTGTGCACATATATAAAGTTTAACACTGGGACTTGACACAACACACACACAGAAACAGATTTCTAATATCTCTTGCAGTTTCAATAGAATACAAAGTGAATATCTGAGGTGAAACTACTGCTTACTAAGTCAATGGAAAAATACAATTAGATGCAAATCTGTTCTCAACAGCACAAACTGATGTAAAAACATGTCCGCATGAGTTCAAAATGTTTCATCTTATCCCTGAGCTTTGTGGACCTGCTTCAAAAACAAGCAGATATGAGATTGAAAAGCAAATAGACTGGAGGGAAATAACTAAAGTTTCTGGGGAATACTGAATTCAGTCAGTGGCTGGCACAGCACTCACACACACATACAGATACATTCCCATAACATTATGATCTGTTCACACACACAGATTCAAAAGGCTGGGCCAGCAACACCTGCCATTTATTGTGAAGGCAACCTAGCTTTGCCACCCTGCAGCCCCTGCAGAGCTTGAAAGATACAAAAAGGTCCCAGCTAAGCTACAGAGGAAAGCTGAGGAACGATCAACTTTACGCAAATATCCTCTGATGCAATGCGAGCAACAGCCAGGTTAGAGTCAACCACAGCCATCTTGATTCCAGAGGAAACTGAAGCATGGAGTTTTTTGCTACTACGCTCTGAGGAATTTTAAACAAAATGGATGGAGAACTTATCATGGTGGTCTCTGGTTTCCCAGGTCCCAGTTACAGGCAGGGGAACTTGATCTTTATGTGGACAAAGGTTACAGCACCACTTAATTTCTATCTAGTTCTTCACTTTTTACTAGTTTCTCTCCCCATCAGGTGACCATGCTGTAAACCAGAGTGGGTCTTCATATCTAGAGTACAGAAAAAAACTCCAAAGCCCATGCTACAAAGATCTACGGTTGATATGGGGCCATCAATAATTAATTAGAATCATTTAACACCACCACCCCCCATCTCATAGGTAAATAAGTAATTAGAATTTTGTCCCCCATGCAATTTCAGCCTGAAGCCTGTGTCTTAGCTTTATTACCATATGAACATGTACATTAAAGCCCCTGAGCTGTAAGAACCAGGCCCACCGCACTCTGGAGGCTCAACATCACGTGTGCTACCACAACTGGGAAAAAACAAGCTGGGGGAATTCAAAGAGGGGGAGTAGTACAGTCTTTAAATCATACAGAAGAGACTTTTCCTTAATTCGAGTAATTATTCTGCAGAGGAATGAATAAAATAAATATTGGCTGGGGAAAAATAACTCCCCACACCTGGAAAGGATTACTGATTGATGCGAAGGCAGCTGTATCATTGTGGACTGTGGATTTGTTGCATGACTAATAAGGTATCCTACCTCATACTGTGTAATGAGACCATTGGGCTCTATAGGCTCCTCCCACTTGAGGAAAATCATGTCATCGAGCGGGGTGAAAGTCAGGGTCTCTGGAGCGATGCCGCCGGGAACTATAACAGGAGAGAAAAACAACCTTCTCTGAAACCAACCCTCCTCTTGGGTCTACAGTTAATGCACTCTTGCGCAGGCATGCCAGGGGCTAAAGACACCTTTGACAGAGTGAAAAGGCACAGGGCCAGGAAGGAACGGAGGGGGAGGAAAAAGAGTGACCAGAGAGATAGAGCAGGGGGAAGGTGATGAAAGGAAACTGTGGACTGGCTGCTCCCAGCCCTCAGGGTGAATTAAGATTCTGGATTCTACAGTCTGATAACAGATCACCGTGTCTTGGAGGATGACAGTCAGTTTTTCTTCTTTAGCACCTCACTGACAGAGAAGCAACCTGTGAACTACCTAAGCAGCTCTCTGCAATTTTGGCTTAATGAGATACATCCTCTTAAAGGAGTACAACTAGTTTTTGAGTTTACTAAATTCTGAGAATAAATACTCACCCATGTTCCCAGTGAACTGCTGTCTGTAGTGCTCCGTAGTAACACTTGGCGATAATAGCCTTCTAGCATTAGCATGTGACAAAATGAAAGTTCAAATAGGTTTATGTGCGAAAGAGTAATCTTAAATTATTTGTAACAGGAATTTTAATCAAATAGATTTTGAAGTATCAGGAACTGCACTATTATCCTTGGTAAGTGATTGAAGTTGGAATGTGGTGGAAGGTACAGAAGCTAATGCAGTCTTGAGCTGCTAGCCTCTAGCTGAGATGGGGTGTGGGCTACAGAGATCTGTAAGCTCACTATTTTCTAACTCCACACCCCCAGATCTTTTCATTTTTGTATTTCTAGTCTTCAGACCCAGCTGGCATGACTATTTCTCCGATTTCACAAAGCTCCTCTGGAGACACAAACCACCTTTTACAACCTTTTTCTCATATGCAGCAGTATACCCTAAGACCTGTAAACACACTTTGATTGGTAAAGCGGGTTGATTTCACCTGTAAACTGTCACAGAGCCCCAAGGCATAAATTTGTTACGTGGCCCCCATTACACAATAAAATAAACAGGTTATAATCACTATATTACATTTTACGGGGATGAAGGTTTCATGTGTCATTCTACAAACAATCATAGGAAAAAAAACAATTTGCTGTTTAAAACTAAATTCTTTTGTGACATGGGCAGTGTGTGGAGGGTGCTGGTCGGCTGGGCTGTCTCAAAAGCCCTGGCCATTTCTTTGCTCCCTCCGCCCCTGCTGTTTGCCTTTGTTGTCTCTTCCTGATCAATCTGGCTGAGGTATAGATTTCTTTTTAACCAGTATGATTATCTGATTGCTTGTGTTTCATGGCAAGTTGGACTTTTCACACAAAATGCAATATTTTGGATCAGTATTTTAATAAATTTCTTTTTTGTCTTAATTCTATTTTGTGTTGTGTTATAGGATTCTAATACTACCGTTGCTTTCATTTTCCCTAATCCTTCTAGAGACTGTGGTCAAGTTAGCTTCAGCTACTGTGCATACAGAAGAAATAATGAATGTAGTGCTTGAGCATCACCGTATGTTTTAATGCCAATGAATCCCTGACAGCTGAATCGGCTTCCTCCAAGCAGTAGAGACAGAGTGTAAGTAAAGCACTACACCTGTGTTTGATTGCTGAGCCCAACAGGAAACGGGCAGGAAGAACTGTCAATGGCTACAGCTCAATTACTGTACTGTAGCTGTGAGGGTGATGGCAGCTCTCCTTGTGACAGAAAGATTGGGGACTGTCAAGCTGTCAGACTGGCAATTCAGTGGCTCAAAAGCAAAACTCTCCATCGGTGCTGACATTCAAAATATCAAGAAAAGTGTGTGGGGGGAGAACTATCACGGTTTGTTTTTTTCCATCACGTGTTTTAACTTGTCACTTTCTAACCAGTCAACCCTAAAGACTAAAATCATAACAGCAGTCTACAGTCTGAACGCATTTATCCAAATGCATTTCCTCCTACAAGACAGCAATGTGTAGGTGTAGATAATTAATCATGCTGGCTGTTATTTTTCCATATCTCACCATATGCTTGTTATTTTCAAATATTACTGTAAAGCTGAACGTGCATGTTTTTTAAGAGATTCATTTCGATAGTGCAATTTAAAAAAATTCTGCCAATCTCATATCATAGTCATCATTCCTTCTCACTCTCTTCACTGGGTCAACAGTATTCCAGAGTGGCATTCAATTACACTGAAAACTCTTGCTTATTCTTCGTAACAATGGGTGGTTGACCCTCTGTATTTCCACTGTGGAAATTTGCATTAGAATGTGTTTAATCTGCTGATGTAAGCACGAACACATTAATACAAAGATAAGCAAAATATTTGACCATGTTGCTACCAGTCACAGCCTGTACTGAACTTCCATTTAGTTACGCTGATCCAGCTTATTTTGTGAGGCAATATGTGTGTTTTTTTGCTGGTACTGGATGACTAAAGGCATGGATTTGTGTAAGTAGTGCACAATAATTATCTGAGCATGAATAAGCCTGCACAAACAGAAATTCAAGACGTTGTGAAGCCTGAGCTCAGTTACTGTGACAAAAAGCTTCAATGCATACATCAAGTCATCCCTGCTCTGTGTAATGATGCAGCACAGAGGGGGAAAACATGCCCTGCAATGTAATACATCTGAAAACTGCACTGAAAAATCCTGGCATCAGTAAAATGTAGCCCCCCGACTCACTGTCTTCCTCAGTTTGGAAGGTGACCTCTCTGCTCTCCTTCTTGCCTTCGGGGTTGGCCAGGGCCAGCCGGATGTGCACTGAGCGGAAGGGCGGCAAGTCCCTCAGGGTGAAGTGAGAAGTGTTACGATCCACGGACAGGCACTCACGAACAGTGGCGTTGTTTCCACCACTGCCCCCTGTCGGCATGGAGTAGCGGTAGCACAGAGACAAGGTGTAGGTGTGACAGCGAGTGAGGTTGTAGCCCAGGGGCTCCCACTGAAGAACCAACTGCCGCGGCTGGATCTCAGTGGCTGTCAGACCCCGCAAGGCACGCATGGGCTCTAGGAGGGACAGAAAGCAGGA